GTACGTATGTAGTATGGATGTGCTGTGGTACTATGTAATGTATATGTACTATGGTACTATGTAGAAAAGAAAAGAAAGAGTGAGTGCTGTACGTAATTGCCCGTCAGACCGAGATGATGGAGGTTACAGCTGCTCACTGATCCATTGTCTACTTACTTTCACAAGCTTTCTCTGGCGAGTGACCCCTACCATCATGTATGTTACTGTAATGTACAGTGGCCAGGACCAGCATTGAAAGGTCGCTGACCTTGAACTCTACTCTTCGGATTCTGCATCACATACTAAATCCTGCTAACCCTTGTAACTGTAAATGGTCAGTGTTGATTGATATCATAGTATGTACTGTGGTACTACTATGTACTAATGTACTATGGTGCTATATATGTATGGTACTATGCATGTACTATGTACTATGGTGCTATATATGTACTATGTACTAAGTAAAAATGGTTTCTGTCTGAGCCTGAATTCCGGGTGCTCTTCAGGACCTGGTGGACCAGATCAAGACTCCGCGAATTCAATCGGGAAGACCTGGCTGTGGCAATCCACAGCTCAACCAAGATGCTGTCTCCTGCAGCAACGAATGTCAACAATGCAGTGAACGCAGTGCCTACTGCTGTGGTCTTGCATGGGCCAGCGGACTTCATGAAGGGGATAAGGCCTTAACACCTAATGGATCAAATACAAAAGGATGTGGCAACAATATCGATTCAAAGCTGCAGACCCAGTTGGTGCGTAAAGAAGGTCTTACCCATCAACAGAGATGCAAGGCGAAGGGGCAGACATCCTCAGCAGACAAGTGGTGTTTCAGACAGGAAAGCAGGCGATCGTACTTTCGCCTTTGGAAAGGGGAGAGTAAAGAGGCGTTGCGGCAGGCCAATGTTCTTTCTGTCTTGCACGCAGTGCCCCCTCTGGAACGTCTGGTGGTAACACTCATGCCAGTTCCTTTTCAGGGAGGCAAAGGACAGCAAGACTGGGTGTTCAATGGCTTTGGAAAGGAGAGAGTAAAGCGATGTCAAAGACAGGAAGACTTGGTGGAGAGGTGCGGGTTCGTTCCCACAGACAAACCTCGCAGCCATCCTTATCTGGGAGGAGAGATTCTTATCCTTATCCTTAGGGCCTAGTTGCACCACCGACCATCCACCAAGATTTTCAATACACCTGGACAAAAGGCACGCTATCCAGCTGCATTGGAAATCTTGGCATATGGGGGTGGTGCAACAAGGCCCTTATCCTGTCTCCATTGTTTATTATGTTCCACAGGGAGTCTTTTTTTCGGATTTTTCCTATATAGTTTTTATTTTTTCGATTTTTTTAAAGAAACATTTTTTATTGGATCTGGAAGCGGAGAGATTCTTCTTATCCTTATCTTTTCTCCAATATTTGTTATATTCCAGCTGTCAACAAACTATGCAGTCTCCCATGATGACCCTTCTTTGTTTCCATGAGTTCTTGTTTTTTTATTTGTTTTTTTTTTCCTTGACCCTTCTTTGTCTCCATAAGTTTTTGAACTTTTTCTCTCTCTATTTTCTCGTTTTTTTCTTCACCCTTCTTTCTCACCATGAGTTCTGTTTTCTGCAGCATGTCACCGTCTTCCCCCCGCTGCATAGACTGAATGGTCATTACCGCTGTTTCGAGACTGAAATTTGCTATAATGATTGTGCATTCGATGTGGGGGAAGACGGGTATGAAGCCGGTTGGCACTAGGTATTCGGAAGGAGCTAAAGCCTTGCAAGTTACAACCCTCTCTCTCCCCCCTCTTCCCTTATCACCTCCCTTGGACCTTCTCCTCCCTTGAACCCTCTCCTCACCACTATCCATAGTTACGGATATGGATCTCGGGTAATTCAAGATGAAGGTATCATGTTTTGTAGAAAGGTCTCTTTGACTTGTCAAACCGCCACTGTATCCAATGTTGTTTGCCCACTCTAGGGGGTATACTACCTGGGTTGGGGGTTGTTGTTGTTGTTGTTGTTGTTGGTGGTGGTGGTTGTTTATGTTGGGTTAAACCACCAGTCCTTCCAAAGCTAAATTGACGAACCAGAAGTTTGCATTTTTCCGAGCCTAGAATCTGCAGGAAAGGCCTTCGAAAAAAAAATACAGTTGCCCCTTCCCATTGAGCCTCTACCAGGCCTGGGCACTGTAGATTTTGGCCCGTTACTTGTGTACGAGCAAAATCTACACTGGTGCCTGTGGATGGACTGGTCGTCTAAGAGCTTTGGCAGGAGTATAGGGTTGGGGGGTTCGGCCAGTGATGTGTGTGCAGACTCCAGCTGGTATACCAGCTGGGTTGAGGGTAGTAGTGGTTTATCCCTACACTTATAGAAATCGCTAACGTGAGAATTGGGCGATCCGGGCTGGCCGCGGTCCTACCGGCCCCATGGTCCGGATCTCTGCGTGGTCCTACCGGCCTGACTTTAAGATTGTGGGCGATCCGAGCCATCGGCCCAGTAGGACTGCGGGCACCCTGGATCGTCGTGCCCGTTGAAAAGAGGGACCGTCGTAAAAAAAACGCCCCAGCACCTGTCGGCCATTGGCCCATTGCAGGGCGGCGCTATGGCCCTACTCGCGTCGAACGGCCCGTTGGGTTGAGGGCTGCCGACTTTGCGCTCTCGCTAAAGTCCAACAGCCCGTTGGGTTGAGGGCTGGCCGTACACCTGGTTCACGTAACCGACAAACGCCCTGTGGGACCTAGCGAACACGACAAACTACTCGACGTGGGCAGACTCTTTGCGATAATCTCTACGATCCTCTCACCTCCGCTCTGTCGTGCTGTTACTCACTGTCAAAGACGCCCTCTCTCTCTCTCTCTCGGTGTCTGTGGGTGCTGTGTTTCAAAGCTGTGCTTGAAGGCCCCTCCGAGGTGACGTGGACTGGACACCACTATGGGATGGGCGACTCAGTTTAGTCACTTTTGTCCCTATCCCCTGTGTGTGTGTGTGTGTGTGTGTGTGTGCGAGCGAGCGAGCGAGCGAGCGAGCGAGCGAGAGAGAGAGAGAGAGAGAGAGAGAGAGAGAGAGAGAGAGAGAGAGAGAGAGAGAGAGAGAGAGNGAGAGAGAGAGAGAGAGAGAGAGAGAGAGAGAGAGAGAGAGAGAGAGAGAGAGAGAGAGAGAGAGAGAGAGAGAGGGAGATTCCGCCGCCCCAGCTCGACTCCACGTCTGTCCAGGGCACTTTGCCTCGTGCTCCGCCCACGGCTTGCGCCACCGCCTCCGCCCTCGGCCTCCGCCCACCTCCGCTCGGCCTCCGCCCACCTCCGCTCGGCCTCCGCCCACATCCGCTCGGCCTCCGCCCACCTCCGCTCGACTTCCGCTCGACTTCCGCTCGGCCTCTGCTCGGCCTCCGCTCGGCCGCCGCTCGGCCTCTGCTTGGCCTCCGCTCGGCCTCCACCCACCTCCGCTCGGCCTCCGCCTACCTCCCCTCGGCCTCCGCCCACCTCCGCTCGGCCTCCACTCGGCCTCTGCTCGGCCTCCGCTTGGCCTCTGCCCGCCTCCACTCGGCCTCCACCCACTTCCCGTTCCGCCTCTGCCCGCCTCTGCCAACCTCCGCCCACCTCCGCCCACCTTCCCTTCGTCTCTGCCCACCCCCCGTCCGCCTCTTCCCGCCATCTTCTCTCTCTCTTTCCTCCCCGCCTCCACCACTTCTCCTTCGCCTCCGCCACCTCCCATCCGCCTCCTTCCGCCATCTCCTCTCTGCCTCCGCCACCTTCCGTCTGCCTTCTCCCGCCATCTCCTCTCTCTCTTTCCTCCCCGCCTCTGCAACTTCTCCTGCCTCTGCCACCTCCCGTCCGCCTCCTCCCTCCATCTCCTCTCTGCCTCCGCCACCTTCCGCCCGCCTCCTCCCGCCATCTCCTCTCTGTCTCTGCCACCTCCCGTCCACCTCCTCCTGCCATCTCCTCTCCACCTCCGCCCACTTCCCCTCCACCTCCGCTCACCTCTGCTCTGGCCTCCGTTCTGCTGCCCGCACATCCGCCATCCCTCTGCCCACCTTTAACAAAAAAACAGTGGACGCCCACCTCCCTCGGCCAGCGCCAACCTCCGGTCCGCCTCCCCCACCTCCCTCCCGCCATTGGGATCGTCAATCTCCCCTCGGCCTCCGCCCACCATCTCCTCTCTCTCTTTCCTCTCCGCCCCCGCCACTTCTCCTCCACCTCTGCCTCCTCCCGCCATCTCCTCTCCGGCCCCGCCACATCTCCTCCGCCTCCGCTCACCTCCTCTCTGGGCTCCGTTCCTCTGCCTGCACATCTGCCATCCTGCTGCACATCCCGTTGCCCGCCCATTTTTTCTTTTTTCTCGCGCCCACCTCCCCTCGGGCTCCGATGACCTCCTGTCCGCCTCCGACGACCTCCTGTCCACCTCCAACGACCTCCTGTCAGCCTCCCCCCACCTCGCGTCCGCCTCCTCCCGCCATCCCGCTGCACATCCCGCTGTGTGCGCCAACCTCCCCTCGGCCTCTGCTGACTTACCGTCCGCCTCTGCCCACCTCTTCTCTGCCCGCTACCTCCGCCCACCTCCACAAGGCCCCCGCCGGTACCTCCGCCCGCTGCCTCCACCCACCTCCAGTCGGCCTCAGCCCGCTCTCCTCTCCGCCTCCTCCCGCCACCTCCTCTCCGCCTCGGCCACTTCTCCTCTGCTCACCTCCCCTCGGCTAGCGGCCCACCTCCCATCCAACTTCTACGGTCCGCTACCTCCGCCCACCTCCGCTCGGCCTCCACCTGCTCCGCCCGCTATCTTCTCTCCGCACGGCAAAGACAATTCCTTGGAGGGAAGGGGGGGGAGAGAGGGAG